GAACGGCGACTAAAGGCGGCGAGAAGACGATCGGCTTCCTCAGAGAGCTCGTCCTACTGAAAAGGCTCTTCGATGATGAAGACTTCACCGAGATCGAGCAATGCGAAGGCTTCACTGAAGAGATGAAAAGCAAGGACCATCCTATCGAGCTCTTGCTTATATAGGCATAAGCCACGCCCATTCGTGCAGAACTTGACTGAGCGGCAGCGCCCTCATTGGTGCTTACGTCACGAGCAGTCCCTCGATAGGTTGCAGCAGTTGCAGCAGAGCAGCCAATAGGTGTGTGAGCTGCCTTGCCTAGGTCTGCTCACTGAAGCAAATGCATTTTAAGTTAACACTAATTATAAGGAAATTTTTTGGCTTCAGTATTCTCGAGACAAGAGGTTTTCCCAATAACGTAAACTAATTTGTGCAACACGAGGTTACTCTTGTAAGAGAACTGCATGCCATTTGGTAAAGGCTGCAATTACGTTATGCGCAGCTTTGTCAGTGCAGCACGACTCTGTAGCCATGTTTCCATCCACTTGTCAATCTGAAATTCGGTTAAAAAACTAATGCGGATAAAGCTGCTGAAAGTGTGTTTCCATCCAACGGCTTTAAAGCGAATAAAAACCTGTACGTAATGACGTCACATGCTGTTTTGCGATCAAATTGGTATATCGAATTGATTTGAGACATTTTAAGGTGTTTCCATTTATTTTCGCACTAAATCGAACAACATGCAAGCAAACTTTTGCGAACAAATTTTTGTTAGACAAAACGGATCGCGCCATCTACCAAAAAATGATCATTTCAGAAGTTGAAGGCTAATAATGCTTATATGCCAGCGACATATGAATGGGATAATGTATGCGAGGCGGTTGTTGTATTCGCTATAACCGCCTCGCTATATTATCCTGCTTATTACATATAAATCAACCAAATAAATAAATAAATCAATTATTTGACACAAAATATTGACTTAAAAACGAGTTTATTGATTTAAAAACGAGTATTGCTTCTGCTAAAGAAAATAGTCTGTTCCGTCTCTGAACTGCGTCCATAGCAACGGTGTGTTATAGAAGCGCCGCAGTCTGTTAACTAGAAATAACAAACCACATTCTACATTAGAATTCAACCAAGCCACGTAAAAACAAGCAAAACTAACCCAAGAAAACAACGACGCTATAAACATTGCTATGATGATGCCGATGCACGTATGCCCGACGACAGCGGAGGTGACTGTGGTGTGGGAACGACAGCGCTCCATCAGTTCTGGGAGATCGTGGTTCACGGAAACCCTTTGGTTGAAGCATCTTTTTGCTTTGTCCACTTACATCTGTCTTTGTTGACATCCGCCATGTGTGCGCAAACAGACTGGCCGGAAATGAACTCGTCTTCTGACGTGTTGCAACCATAAAAGGGCATAAAACTTAATCGCAATTCATTATTTATTCGGCAAATAACGTTTCCATCAGCTTTTATCGCATTAGCCGTATATCGATCAAGAGAAAATTCGATGAGACCGAACGTATTTTATTTGAGTCGATTTTCATGAAATTTCATCGAATTTTACTGTTTCCATAAGGCTTTTTTCATTCGATATCACTTAATTCGGATAAAAACGTGTCGATGGAAACATGGCTTGTGATCTGTAGTAAATGCTGCTCCATCTGAAAGCCAGAGGTCGCTCTCGTGCAGAAACTCCATGTATGACCCCCAGAAGTAGACAACACTAGTCATTCTAGGAAATCCCTGTGGAATCATACTATTGCTGTAGCTGAACAAACAGAAGTTTGCAACACTTTGATCAAACATGACTAATTAATGAACGACTACCTTATTCAGTGTAAGAAGCCACAGAAGGATGCTCAACTGTCATTATTAAGTGAGTTTGGAGTGAAAGCATGGTATGTTGTCTTTTGTTAGACAAGGAGTTTATAAATGCATCTCATCTTTTATCTTTCAAATACACGTTATAAGTGACTCAAACTTGCAGTGCTTTCAGGAGCAGTGTTTACAGAGCCGTTAATCAATGACAAGCTGCGCATAAAACATAATAACACAGCCTTTGTGATTTCATAATCGTGCAAGCCAACTTGATTTAAGCACGATTTCATGTTAATTGCGATTAATCGTGCAGCTCTACACCAAAGGTGCAGATCAGGCTTGTCCAGCACAGCTTTTGCATGGACCCTACCCAAGGGAGGAAGAAGAAAGTTTCGGAGACGTGTTGAGCGCCGAGCTGAAGTGGGTTGGGTCCATGCAAAACCTGCGCTGAACAAGCCTGACTGAACAATAATATTGTTCTAATTGAACATGCAGTAAAACAATATGATTGCGAAATATTATAATATAAATGTAATATAACAATAATATTATAATATATATTAATAATAATTATATTAATAATAATAGTATTATTTATTATAATAATAAAACATAATAATAATATTATAATAATTTAAAATAATGATTTTCTATTTTTATAAATTTTAAAATGTAATTTATTTCTCCGATGAAAGGCTGACTTTTAAGTAGAAATGACTTCAGCTCGGCGCTCAACACCATTATCTCAGAAACTTTCTTCTTGCAGCCTTGTTTATCATAAGAGACTTAAACAAATACAATTAATCAAAAACATTAAAGAAATCTTACCAACCCCCGAATCTTTAACATTAGTGTATAATTTAAAAATGTCTCAATAAAAGGTAATAAAATCAAATATTGATAAAATATAGGAATTCATGTTTAAATATGTATGGGAAGTATCTTCAAATACCAAGTATAATGTGAAGATTTGTCATGCATCCCCAAGCCTTAATACTTACAAATAATCTTACCTGCATTTCTTGCAAAAACGTCATGCATTTTTGTACCACGTACATTGGTGTGTTTATGTTATGGTATTCTCAAAACAACATTCTCCTAAATTCAGCCAATGGATTCAGTAAATTATGATTATTTTATTGGTACTGATTTTTCAATTTGGCTTTTTGACATGTTAAAATTTGCGTTTTGAACTTGATTGCTGTTTCTCAATCAAATCTTTCTATGCATCTTATGCAGTATGGATATTTTCCACAATGTTCAGAATACAGAATTCAGGAAACTGCTTTAACTTTCCCCATGCCTTTTATTTTTATTTTTTTTTTTTTGCACTCCATTGAAATGATGGAAATATAATTCAATCATTCTCGACTTTCCACAGGCACATCTCTCCTGGTAGCTTTGAGAGTGAATAGTAATGCATATATTCATGTTCAGCCGTGGGTGAGCCTGCCCAGCGTTGAATTCATGGTTAAACCCTGCTAGAGTCACACCATTTTACTGCTGTTCCCTGCTGTGCTCTGCAGCAGCTCCAGCACTGCTTTTCATTCATTATTTTTGAATAGGGTGAGGGTACGGTATCTCAGGGTGCTGTTGCACCATCCGGCAATTCTTGAAGTCACAGTCGCACATCAGAAGTTCGGAACTAGCTGCTGCTGGAAAGATGTGACATCCTATTTTTGGAAACTGTGGTCCAGCTCAATTATATGCATTTGAAGTTGAACACTTAATCATTTTCTGTTAATGAGAGTGATGCATTGATGATGTTAAATTTATTTCAGTATAAATTACAAATTACTGCTAAAAAATATAATTATAATCACCATCTGAAAGTTACTGGATGTACTCACAAGACACTTTTGTGTTAATGTTGTGTCCAACCACTGTCTTCGTTTTCTCTTTTATTTTAATGTAGAAATATTATAAAAAGTTTTTTTTTTATTTAATTTTTTTTTTTTTAATTGAGTTCATTACCCTGTAAGGGTAATATCACAGGGTATATGTATGTAATTTTTTGGAGTATATTAGAGCCCAGAATACCATAATACTTTAGCTCTTCACCCCTCCTATAAAAGTCAAAGGTTTCAAATTGGATCTATTAATGCATCAGCTCAAATGCCCTCTTGTGGCCTCCTGTGACTATTGCATGTGCTTACTGAATAGTGATAAGTTCTGCATCTACAGATGATCAAATTGGATTGTTGTGAATTGTATTAATTTACACCAGTTTAACCAATACAGATTTGCTGACACCACAATTTGGCTTAGGAATATATTTTTGGGTAAAAAAGGATGGAAAAATATTTTATAACTTCATTTGAGGTTTGAAGGAATAAACAAGTGCTCTAAAATTGATTATTTATTTTAATGTATCTGCTGCTATGACTCATCAAGCTTATGTTTCCACAGACCAAATTCATTCTTGTTTTGACCACTACTGCTCGAAAGTTTGTGGTCAGAGTTTTTTTTTTTTTTTTTTTAAGAAATCAATTCTTTTATTCAACAAGGATGCATTAAACTTATCAAAAGTGATAGTAAATGCATAACATTTTCCAAAAGACTACTAGATCAACTAATTACTGTTCTTTTGAACTTTCTATTCATCAAAATATCCTGGAAATTAATGTACCGATGATAGTAAATAGAACATTTCTTGAGGACCAAATCAGTAATTATGTCTCATTTTTTTCTGACACTTTTGTATTTATTTATTTTTTTCATTTTGATCAAATAAATGCAGCCTTGTTGAGCATAAGATCATAAGATAATCTTTCAGGAACCCCAACTTTACCTTACTGACTTCAAACCTTTGAATGATAGTGTATTTAGAACTACTCCAAATGTCTGTGTAGTCACATAGGGCTGTGTGAATGGTAGAGGTTAAATATTCATGTTTTCTTTGGAACTGAATGGATCTGGAGAGATTGAAAACTGGGTCACCACTAGCACCACTGGGTTTACTGTTGAAATCTGGGACACCTGTTAGCATCCACTGACGATGAGTGACTAAGCAAAGACTGCTCATAATTGGGTGTCATGGTGCCCAAGGTGCACATCCAACAGGGACAGAACAAATGATTTTAACATTAAAACACATTACCATTAAGCATTAAATGATTCCTTTACATTATTATTATTTTTTTATTCTGTCATGAAAATTAACTTTGTTCTTTTTTTGTGCTTTCTTACAGAAAGAGCTCAGCCTTCCCAGACGAGGAAGTGTGTGAGTAAACTACTTTGATTGTCTTTAATTTAAGTTACTAGTTAATTTATTTTTTTCATGTAATAAAAGTCAGTGGTATTCATTGTTGTTTTAGACTTTCATTGAATTGACAAAAAAAAAAAAAAAACATTGAAAAAGGGTTTACATTGTTCCACAGAAGAAATAAAGTCATACAGATTTGGAATGACTCAAAGCGAATAATTAATAATGTGGTCTAAAGCCTTGTTTACTCAAATCTCTGGGAATTGATCCATCAATGTTGCAACAAACTGTTATGATCTGAGGAAGTCTTGGGTAACAGTACTGACAGTTCACAAATAAATCTACATCCCAGCCATTGTTTTGGAGTTTCAGACACAAGAAGTTTTATAATAATGTAAGATTGTAATAATTATCTGTAATTACAAGATTGAATCTCCACCATTGTTACCTGCCTACTGCCCACCATTTAGCTGTTCACATGAGCTTAACTGTTAAATTAAATCAATTTAGAATAATTTCAAAGCTTCTACATATTATTTGAAAAATAAAAAAATCTGTATTTGTCAGCATTTCCTAGAGAATAAAATTTGTCTGTGATGTTTCTACTAAACTTTCTTAGAACTTTTTTATTTTTTGGAGAAACAAAATTAAAAAAAAATAGAAATAGGATTAACACAAATGTGATGAAGATTATTTGAGCATTTGATTGAGGCTTTGGTATGTCGTGTGTCTTTTGAAACTTTTGATGTGGTACATGTGAGAGAACTGGGATCTTTATGAAAATATTTTTTTGGCGTGCCAAAATTCTCAATTTGATCTTCAACAGTTAGGAAATTTAAGGTATCTTACTGGTGATTTATTATATTTTGTGTAAGTGTTGTCAGCATGCCATTTGGTTTAAAATGTTTCCTCACAAATTATTAAATAATGTATTAATTATAGTTGGAAACATATAAACACAGCTTGATAAGTGATTACCAAGGACCATCAACCATTGCATTCCTTTTGAACGTCATGTCACTGTATCTTCTTTCACAGCATTCTCTGATGTCTGTAAACACAGATAATATTACCAATGCTCGAAGTGGGCCAGTAGACACTTCTACATTTTAATCTGTAGTGTATCCTCATTTTGTCTTGCGTACCAGCCCTTCTTACTTGTTGCCGGTACTCACACTGCATTACCCCTACGTGATTTCAACCCAGGGGGACCACCCCTAACCAAGAACCTCCAAACATGTTCAAAACCTATATGTACTTTATGATCTTGCCATTACTTTTTAGTTGGCCACTTGAAATCACATGGAATCAAAAAAAATACCTTCAGGGTGTAAAGGGTTAACAGTGACCATCAACAGAGAGCTGGCATATCACTTACATAAAACTTGGATGATTGGGATCAGTGTCGGCCAATCAGGAGTACAAAAAATCTGTAGTCTTCTATCGGCTGCAGTGATGCAGTCAAAGTCCTGGTCTGAACATCCCTATTTCATAGCATAGTTAAAAGGTCATTTCTTTCTAGTCTTTAAGGGCATATTTTAAATGGTTTCTAAATGGTTTATATCAGAGATGTTCAAACTATATATTTAATGAAATATAGTTAATATAATATAGTGCAACATTAATTTTTTTCCATGGCCCTAAGTCAAGTTAGTTTTTATTATTATTATTATTATTATTATTATTATTTGGCCCATTGTAGCACTTAACTGTCACCGTCCCACAGGTGGGACGTTTGCCACTATATTTTTAAAACAATAATATCTTAGTAAATACCTTAAATAATATTGACAAACTATATATCATTTGAAAGCTTACAATCTCTAGTTTCCATATTTGGTGACTGATTTTCAAAATATATTACAGAGGAGCCATAATTTATCAATATGCAACAAGAATATTTTCATACTCATAAGGCGTGTTCAGACCTTTATTTTAAAATAGCAGTAAACATGAAAAATCATGAAAAAATGGTAGATACCTCAGTTTGTTTTCATGCCAAAAGTTCAAAAGATAGAATCCATTCAATTATTTTGGAAAAAAGCTCTGAAAAGTTTGAAATATCAAGAAAAAAAAATAAATAAATTTACCATTTGTGATGTGGCAGCTAGCTATGACTTACATGCGTGTTCTTTGTATGTGTTTCTTAGAGGTTCAATTCATTTCAAAATCTGCCAAACTTCCCATACTACTTCTGAATAGGATCTCTACTTCAGAAATTGTATGAAAATTGTGAAAATAATGGTTCATATCACTCAAAACACGAATGGAAATGCAGACGCCCTTATATGGGCAGTAATGGAGTCTGATTGTGCCCTAGTGAAAAAGTTGGGTACTGCGCTCAAACAAAATCTTACTGAAAGCTCATTTTTTGAGATATCAACCTAAAATTTGAAACACAACTTGTTCAGATTTTTGGCTTTGATCTTTCTGCCGTTTTAGAGTAGCCCAGGTTTTGAAAATATATATTTTATGTAAAATATGAATAATTAATATTTTTACATTGTACATTTCCATAAACTCAAACTTCTATAACTTTTTTTCTGTTTCACTTTCTTAATTTATTTCACTTCTACAAAAATCTGCCAAATGTCTTCTTTAAAACAAGACCAATCATACGTCTATATTCCAAAGCATTTTTGAATTACAACCATTTAAGTTCGAAATGTGCATTTTCATCTATATTCAAAAAAAGGGGGGGTGACAGTTAAGAGGTTAAATGTTTGTGCACCTCAGAGCACTTTAAATGTAGATATTTATTAAGAGTATTCATCAAACACTATAATTGAGTTAATATTTAATTGTTAAAAATCCATGCAATTAAAAACATTATTATTTTTTTATCAATATCATGTAATTCATTTCATTTAAAATTGATTGATAGCCCTAGTATTAGCCCTGACTGCCCTGATTATAGATCAGACCCATGGTAATGCATAAAGACACTAGCATTAAGCCTTTTAAATATCCCCTGAACATGTTCATTATACATTTCAAACTGTTTTATACTTTTATCAGTAACGTTTGGAGTGGAGATGATAATGGTCCATATAACGTCTAGCTATAATATGATTAAACGGGTATTTGGTGTGGGTGTCTGTTTTGTCTGTTTGTGTAATAGGTTAGATATTTGATTTCCTATATTTAGAAACCATGACAGTTTGCTTTTTTTTATAGTGATCCTGATGACTGTGTCTGGTGTCAGTTGACCTGTCAGATGTATGTGAAGATACAAATGAGAGAGTGAGAGAGAGAGAGAGAGAGAGAGAGAGAGAGAGAGAGAGAGAGAGAGCACAATCACAATCTTGATTGAAAAAGTTTAAATGTCAGACTGAACAATCTTCATCAAGCATTCTGTGTGAATTTTCCCTGTCTATTTATTGTTGTCTGTCACAAGAAAAGTAATATATTATAAGGGGACTGAAAGAGCACTGTATGGGTTGATGCCCAAAGTGGAACAGACGCTTGTGGGCTATCTATCCCCTAAGATGTCAGGTCAACAGTTCAGGACGGTATGTGTCTACTCTGCATACAATGTCGCTGTTGCCAATGTACCAGGACAACCTGCATTGAGACCTTGATGAAGGGGTGGGACTGGCCGAAACCAAGCGGCAGCGTTCCAGCTCTACCTCCCTCATTAAGCTCCGGTCTCGGGGGCTGCTGGCCGGTAGCAGCTCATATAAAACACTTCAAAAAGAGAGGGAAGACCTGAGGCAGGGATGGAAATTAGCACCTGCCACCAGCCAAATGTGGGTGATTTTGTGTTGTGGCGGGTAAACTCACTTCACCTACCCGCCACCGTGGCGGTTAAATAAAAATAGCATACTGTTTCACCTGGACAGCGGACACTTTTAGAAGAGGCACACCTTCAACACCCGCACGCTTCTTCTGTCGAGGCTCGATGAGGGAAGAAAACTTGGTAGCGCGAGAGGCGGTTTGCCGTCCAAAGGGAGAACTAGCCGCGAGCGCAGGGTTGCCAACTCTCACGCATTGTGCGTGAGACTCACGGCTATTTTCACGCTCTCATGCCACACCCCCGATTTCTCACGCTAAAGTGTCAAGCCGTCGGTAAAATGCCTGAAAGATGAGTTTATCTATATAGATCCACCAGTTGAGCCACTCGTGATCGACTAGTTTTACCGCAAATTAGTTAAAATATCCTCTTATCTAGAGTGAATGTTCATGCGAGACAGATGTTGAGCTCCTAACGGCGCGGACGCAAAGCCAGGACTGGAGCCAAAGCACATTCCTCTCTGCACTTAAGCGTTCTGTAATCACTCCGCTTTCTTCCACTAAGGATTTTCCAGTCTCACTCACAGGAAAAAACTGCTCTGTGTTCATTCGATTTTAAAAGATAATCTTATGTGTTTATATATATATATATATATATATATATGAAAAACTGCTCCGTGTTCAATCGATTTTAAAAGATAATCCTAAGTTTTATTTTTTATATATCACACTATCTGAATTTATAATGCTATGGCTTGGAAAGTATTTTACACGTTTAATTTATTTTCCATTTTTTTGTTTAATCTGCCCTACTAATTTAATGAAATGTATATCAGTTCATGGTTTGTGTGTGTATAAGAGATACAGAGAAAATGTGAGTATTTCATTGAGACTTAAGATTAAATAAACTGGTTAAGTATTGTACGTAAATCTTGTAGTAATAATTTTCACATGCAGTTACACATTGTCGGTTAAAAACAAGAAAGTGGCTGGTAAAAACATTGAGTGGCTGGTAGATTTTGAGATTTTTACAAAAAAGTTAAGTTTCCATCCCTGATCTGAGGACCGTCATTCTTGCAAAGAAGACTTCTTCAAAGTCCTTACACCTCATTATTCAGTGCCAGTGTCTCCTCTGTGCCCTCAGGGGACCGTTCTTCCAACCAAAATCATATTTTGTGGCAAATTATTTGATATGATGGCTGTCTTTCTAGCATTGAACACTCTCTCCCGGACCTACAGGGCGTGCTTGTCTAGACAGACAACACATTGGTGTTTTCCTACATAAA